CCCGTCTCGGCCTCCCAAAGTGCTGGGATTACAGGCTTGAGCCACCGCGCCTGGCCGAGACAGAGTCTTACTCTGTGGCCCAGGCTGGTGTGCAGTGGCACTATCTTAGATCACTGCAATCTCTGCCTCCCTGGTTCAAGTGATTCTCCTGCCTCAGCCTCCCTAGTAGCTGGGACTACAGGTGTGCACTGTCACTCCTGGCTATTTTTGTTTGTTTGTTTTTGTTTTTGAGACAAAGTCTCGCTCTGTCACCAGACTGGAGAGTACAGTGGCAAGATCTTGGCTCACTGCAACCTCCGCCTCCTGGGTTCAAGTGATTCTCCTGCCTCAGCCTCCCAAGTAACTGGGATTATAAGCACATGCCACCACTCCCAGCTAATTTTTGTATTTTTAGTAGAGATGGGGTTTCACCATGTTGGCCAGGCTGGTCCCAAACTCCTGACCTCAGGTGATCCATCCCCCTTGGCCTTCCAAAGTGCGGGGATTACAGGCATGAGCCACCCCACCTGGCCCATCTGGTGGTTTTAAAAGATTCATTTTCTTTTCTTTTTTGAGATGTAGTCTTCTTCTGTTGCCTAGGCTGGAAGTAGCGCCATCTCGGCTCACTGCAACCTCCGCCTCCCGGGTACAAGCAATTCTCCTGCCTCAGCCTCCCCAATAACTGAGACTACAGGTGCCCACCACTATGCCCAGCTAATTTTTTGTGTGCTTTTAGTAGAGACAGGGTTTCGCCATGTTGGCCGGACTGCTCTCAAACTCCTGACCTCAGGTGATCCATCCGCCTTGGTTTCCCAAAGTGCTGGGATTACAGGCGTGAGCCACCGCACCCGACCTAATTTTAGAATATTTTCATTGCCCTCAAAATAAGCCCCATATCCATTAGCAGAGACACCATTTTCTCCCAATCATCCTCCAGCCTTAGGCAAACACTAACCTACTTTCTGACTCTATAGATTTACATGTTTAGCATGTTTAGGGCATTTCTTCTTTTTACTTTTCTTCTTTTTTTTTTCTTCTAGGAAACAGGGTCTCACTGTCACCTAGACTAGAGCGCAGTGGCAGCGTGACCATGACTCACTGTAGCCTCGACCTTTTGGGTACAAGCAATCTTCCCACCTCAGCCTCCCAAGGAGTTGAGACTACAGACGTGTGCCACGATGCCTGGCTAATTTTTTATTATTTGTGGTGATGGGGTCTCACTGTGTTGCCCAAACTGATCTCAGGGCTGGGCACAGTGGCTCACTCCTGTAATCCCAGCACTTTGGGAGGCTGAGGCAGGCAGATCACCAGAGGTCAGGCGTTTGAGACCAGCGTGGTCAACATGGAGAAACCCCCATCTCTACTAAAAACATACAAAAATTAGCCAGGTTTAATAGTGGGCGCCTGTAATCCCAGCTACTCGGGAGGCTGAGGCAGGAGAATCACTTGAACCCGGGAGGCAGAGGTTGTGATGAGCCGAGATCACGCCACTGCACTTCAGCCTGGGTGACACCATGTCAAAAACAAAACAAAACAAAACAAAGTGATCTTGAATTCCTGGGCTCAAACAATCCTCCCGATTTGGCCTCCCAAAGTACTGGGATTATAGGTCTGAACTACTGTGTCTAGCCTAGTGTATTTCAAATAAATGGAGTCATACAATATGTGTTCTTTGTATCTGGCTTCTTCTTTTTTTTTTTTTTTTTTTTTTTTGAGATAGAATTTCACTCCTGTTGCCCAGGCTGGAGTGCAATGGTGTGATTTTAGCTCACTGCAACCTCCACCTCCTGGGCTCAAGCAATTCTCCCACCTCAGCCTCCTGAGTAGCTGGGACCACAGGTGCACACCACCACACCTGGTGGCAAATTTTTGTATTTTTGGTAGAGATGGGCTTTCACCATGTTGTCCAGGTTGATCTCGAACTACTGGACTCAAGTGATCTTCCTGCTTCAGCCTCTCGAAGTGCTGGCATTGCATGCGTGAGCCACCCCACCCTTTTTTTTTTTGAGATGGAGTTTCATTCTTGTCGCCCAGGCTGGAGTGCAATGGCATGATCTCAGCTCACTGCAACCTCCGCCTCCCAGGTTCAAGCAATTCTCCTGCCTCAGACTCTCTAATA